GCCCGAGCGAACCCTCCAGCGTGGAGGCTGGGAGGAGGCAGGGCTGCAGCCTCCCGGCACCCCCCCGAGGAGGGACGCTCCCCCTCGCGTCCTTCTGTTCCGCGATGCAAAGACCATCTCCGTGGACTCCCCACGTGCACACCAGAGAGATTATGTGACCGCAGGGCTACCAGATCCTCTCCCGTACCAGTACAGACAGCGCCTGGAGCTTCCTCCGTCCCTTTGCCGGCCTCTAGCGCTGGCGGCCCTGAGCCTGGCTAAGCGCAAAGTGGTCACAGAGCAGGAGCAAGGCATCGAACCGCTGGAGCCGCTGCAGAGCTTGGGCCAGGCGCGGGATGGGGACCGCGTCTCCCGAGTAGGTGAAGTGAGCGACGAGCTGCTCAAATCCAGATATCCGTCCCAGCGACGGGGGCGCGACCCCCAGCTCCAGCGCCACGTGGCTGAAGTTCTTCACTCCGTTCAAGGAAGGGTCCAACAAGAAGGCAAGTGACTGCACCAAGGAATGGGGCAGCTCTGCTACCGGGAGACCTGAGGGCGGCACGACAGCAAAGCGGGGTTAGAAACCAGCCGACCTGGCCAGGGTAAGGATGACCAGAGCAGCCAGACTGTAGCCCCTGGCCCTGCCGAGCAGGCGAAACGCCACCCTGCCAGGGCGGGTATCTCCGCCACCATCGCTTTCAGAGCTCAGCAACACGGAGCTGGCTCAGCCCCAGGGAGGCTGGTAACTGGTGACAGCCGGGCCTCCATCCGCCACCCACCTGCAGCCCAGTCAAGGCGGTACTACAGAAAATCCACCCTGTGAACTAGCACCAAAGGCCATGAGAGTCAGGTAAGTCGCTGTGCTGACCGGCACATCCATGTGGCTGTGGTGGGCTTCCAGAGGAGCTCCCTTCCAAGGCTCTGCCTCTCTCTGCTAGCCCAACACGCACAGAAGAAAGATGAGGCTGGAGAGACACGTACCCTTCGCCGTGCTGCTGATCTGAGTCACGAGGCTCTGGGCATCACCCACCTGGCAAGACAAAGACCCCGAGGTTGGTGGCAGCCTGGTGAGAACAGCAACGCCTGCCACTGCTCCCAGGGCCGTGGCAGAGGCTCGGAGGAATGGCGCTTCTCCTCCCAGCGCTACCATCCCTCAGAGCCAACGACCTCCTCGGGATGCTCCGGGGCCTCCCAGCAAACTGCTTCCATGAACGGTCACCTGGAGCTAAGTGGTAAACACATCCTCTGCCAGGCGTTTCCTAAGCCTCAGCGGTGTTAGTCACCGGGTTCGTTACGAGCTCCCCAGAGCGGGAGGAGGAACCAGCTCCGCGCGCTGCCAGGTCTGCTGCCTGGAGAGCAGGAGGACCAGAACCACGCAAGGGCACATCAGCTAAAGACATGTTTACACATTCAATAAATTGACTGGTCTTTTGGGTGTTTGAAACTGCCCCGGCAGGCCACATCTCCATGGCTGATGGCCTGCTGAGTGACTAAATCATCACTAAAGATCTGGAAAATCATTTTTGATAATTACCAGTTAGTCTCAGATATTAACGAACCTTAGTCTATGTCCCTAACCCTAGTCCTGTCCCCTATGAGCCCAGCACCCTGTGCCTGAGCCCTGGATGTCCGGCGGTGGTTTGGAGGAGCAACAGGGCCAGAGGAACTCACCGGCTGCTCCCCGCTTTCGGCGGTGGGATTAGGGAAGGTGGAGGGCGGGCACCGGGCCCCCTCCCGCCCTGTGCCACCGCTCTCTGCCGGGATGCTCTGCACTAACGCGCCCTCCGCCGGCCGCTCGCCGCCCACAAGCTCCGCCTGGGTGGAGAACTTCTGGAGGTCCAGCTCGGTGCATTCCACCGGGGCGTGTGGCCACTTGTGCTGCATCTCGGAGGCGCAGGAGGAGAGGGGGGCCAGGGCCTCCGCCGTGCCCGGCTGGCCCTGCCTGGGGTCGGAGGGTGGCAGGACCCCGGCCAGGCAGT